AAAATATTCAATTTGTGCTATTTGTTATAAGTTGATAAACGGATGGTACAAAACAGTCTTTCTAAGCATCTTCCTTTTAATTCTTCAAAGCGTAATTGACTTGTTGAAAATATATGATGTTTAAATTTACACTCAAAAGTGCCGAGTAAATATAAATGAACCTAATAATAATAAATAATATTGATTAAGCTTTTAATTTTTTTTTGTCGAACATGACGAACATCTGATGGTACTAAAATTTTAAATAAAGAATAATTTCATTAGGTAAAGTACGTTGGAGATGTTTTTAAGCATAAAAAGAAGATTATTTCATTAAGAGAGTAGAGGATCAAAGAGACAATGCTGGGCTTCGAAGATGAGTCAGAATTGGATTTTAGGGTGAAAGCAAATGTCAATAAAATTGTAATAATTTTAAATGAACAAGAAAAATAGGAACACGATGACTAGGGAATTCATTATTATTTTTAACAACCAATTGCAAGCTTTGATTTAAATAATACGAGCATGATGCACACATTTCCTGCTCCATTAGAATTTTATTTTTATATAATCAAATAAAGTTCATCAAATGGCATAAATGTTGAACCCAGAAGTTTAAAGTTTTCAATTTAAATTATGTTTCAATATTCAATGTTCATTGTGATCGGGCAATTGATTTGCTTTCTAATTCTTGATAAGAAAAGAAGAAAAAAATTATAGGATTCATATTTAATCACATATTCTTGAGTGGTCAAATGTTCGCGGTTTGAGGAAAAATATGGGTTTATTGGGATTTAGTTTCGCGAGAGAAGAATTGTCGACGACTAATATCTGTAAAAAAAAAAAATAACACATTTCATGGAGGACATAAATTTGCTGGTCTCTTCATACCCAGAAAACCACCAACCCGCTTCCCCCCCCCCCCCTCCCCCAAAAATTAGTGATTTCACAGTATGCTACGTTTTGGCCTCATCCTAAGCTCACAGCAGTCAAAGCAGAGGTCAAGCATACATTGTATTAGATGAGATTCAACAAGAAGATAATAACCCTTTGTATTCATGCAAACAACATATTTAAAAAGATAAAGTTTTTCAGATAATATGGTTTTTAAGATATATTGAATTTAAGAGTAAATTCAATTAAATCTAAAAATATTTTCCCTCAACTTTGTTTTGAATTACAATCACAATAATCTGTTGTCAATTTGTGTGACAGAATACTTTCTACATACATGTACACGCATAATAAATAAAGAAGAATTTTAAATGACACAACAGGAACACATAAAATGATATACAAGGAACTTATCCTCTATTATATAAAGTCCCTGGAACATTGAATTTCACGGATTTCTCTAGACATCCCGATATGTAAGTATTCATGCTAACATTACGTAAAATAAATAAAAATAATTACCATCTTTAACAGTTCATAGTTTAGACAACTACATATTTGTATATACGTGGAAAAAAATCAGTTGTATGTTTTATAAGCGGCATTTACTAAAATATGAACAATTAGTTTTACCACAAATGATAAGACTGAATTGACACAGGAAAATGTCTATTAAAATCAAATAAACCCGTCGTGAAACTTAAGAAACAGAATGTCTGTGGAGGATTTGATTGGGCGTTAATAGAAACTTCAAATTTCAATATCCCAAGGACATACCCTTGTTGAAATATAAAAAGGCTATTAATTGTTTTTGCATACTTGACATTTTCTGGAAGGAGCTGCTGCTGCTTTAAAAAGAACTTGTATTTTATTAATTAAAACTTCAAGTAAAAAGGTACATGTCGAAATATCTTTGACCTTTACCCGGTATTTTGCGTACTTATAAAGTCTATAAATCTATACATTTTTTAGGAAATTAATCATATTTTTCACTATAGTGAATCAAAGTATTTTAGCCGTGAATTTCTGATTATTATGTTTTATTATGTTTTACTTTCCATAATTCAAATGTACATATTTTGTATATATAATGGACATATCACCTGAATATTAAGACATTATTCACAAATTTTACGCCATTTTTATCGCGTATAAGAGTTTAATCTTTAAAACCTAAATGGAATTTACAGTTAATCTCCTAGTAAATCAAAATGAAAGTATTGACTTTAGTTAAATATAGAAAAATTACTTTTTTGTAAGGGTCATTTCAGACATTCCATAAAAAAAATAAATGACACAAGAGGAATATGTAAAATTATAATGGCGGAGATTCGTTTCTACGGACTATAGTTCTTGAAACTTTTATTTATCTCTTACCTGTGAAAAATCGACTCAATTAGACATTCCAATGTATAATACTAGTTTAAATGTTAACAAATGAATACAAAGTAAAAAAAAATGTCTAAATATTTGTTCCACTTCATTTTGTTGACAAATATAGTTGATGATATATAAAAATAAAACTGCATATTCGAAAGAATTTTTCTTTTCTTTTCTTGAAACCTAAGCCCCATATATTTTACTTAGAGAATATCTTCCACTATGATATGCTAGGAATATTAAATATATGCCTCAATTTATATTCTTAGAAGAAATTTACAAATTCTCTCAACAAACTTCGCTAAGAAATGAAAATATATGAAAAATGTCCAGATAAAATTTACACCCGTCCGGCTTTTGCCTGAAAATTGTATATTTTGACCAATATCTCGCATCACATATCCGAACGTTTTCTTTGATTATTTTAAACTACACAATTCTTCCAACCAATCAGCATTAAGTCATAAAAAGTTTGATACAAGAAAATATTTTAATTGCATGATTTAGTTTACTCCAAATGTGATATTTTTTAGTGCAAAAAAAAGGTCACACAATAATTTATGCGCCATAATTTGCATTATTTGTCCAATGATGAATATTATTCAAAGTATTCTACGTAAATTAATATTATATTTGAAGCAAAGACTCCATCTGAAAAAATATAATAAAGATTAATGTAATTATCCACAGATTTGCAATTGAAGTAAAAAACGGTCAACTTAGTTGTACCGTAACTCTGTAAGATGTACTTTGACAACGCATTTTCTTCGCGGTATTGAGTCATGTGATATGAGGACTCGTCTAAAATATATACCTCTAAAAAACCCTTGATATACTGTAGATTGATAAATATTCAAGATAGTTTGAATTTCGCTATGTTTGCTATTTATCATTTTTCCGCGAAATCAAAGCCATCGTGAATGCTAAGTTTAAATCCTTATACGAAAGGATGATGTGACATAACTGCTATCAGGGGCTCCCTTTTCCACTACAAATTATATTTAATCTACAACAATTTTGATAGTTTTCAAACATAAGTGAATAAATACAATGCCTTTTGAATAGTTTAAATAGTTCTGACATATTTTAATTATAAGGAATACTGCATTATCTATGATTTTTTTAGACCCTATCATGGCAATTCGGCCTGGTTTGTAACAAGATGTTCTTTTATGAAAGAGAATTGGCGGGTTTTAGTACAATTGAGGATATATATGTCCGAATTTTCTACCCTATATGACAATTGTTATTATTTCACAAATATCGCTTACCAAACCAATTATCCAATTCGATGACAGAACGACAAAACATGCATGTTTACATTTTATCACAGATACGTGGCTTAGGTCAATTTATACCTTTTATTCTCGTCTACATTTCAAACTTTGAATTGTCAGCCAAGGCTGTTTATACTTAATAATACGCACGTATTCTCAGCGTTTACGGTTTTGGGTCAAGAAATGCACATGAAACTAATGTATTCACTGATACTCGGAAATATGTGTAGACCTACGGCTAGCGAATTACCCACCAAACACTTTACAAAACTTTAAACTATGTATATCTATCAATCAATTGTTTGTAACTGTGATCTCGGAAATCTGTAGATCCATATCTAATATATGTCTCAAATGCATAATAATATATTTATCAGAAACCAGGTAAATTTACTTTAAATTAGCCTTTTTTCAAGCATGAAATTTCCTATGTATTGTTGTGGTACTTACTCGTAACACATCTTATTTAGCCGATTGTTCACTTAGAAAGTATCGTCAGTTCCTCGAATAGCATATGAATTTATTCTTACATAAAAAAATCTAGATTCGTTGATCTGTTCATGATGGGAAAAGCCAGCTAGATTTTATAATTTCTTTAAAAAAAGCATGTGAGTGCAGTTAGGTACAATTATCTCCTTTCACATACAGGTTGATATCAATAAAATACAGTGACTAACCAAAGGAGAAAATGGCACCTACTTGCGCTCGTATATTTTAAGGGCTTCAAAAAGTGAGACGGGGTCAAAATTCAATGGGAATTGGATGTAAACATGATACCCAAACCCAAATAAAAGATATATATCTTTCAAATCACGTTTCTATTTTTGTTAAAAATGGTATTTCATATAGGTACACATATCAATGATTAGTTACATACAAAAAATGAGTAAAATTTGGACATTAAATAATTTTAGTCAATTTACCGGGGGCAGTATGTCACCTCATCCTTTGGAATTTATTTTTTGCAGCGTGAAATTAAAACCATAGCAACTGGTACTTTTTAAGATATCGTGAAACATAAGCACCGTGGAATTGAAACGACTTAATGTAACTAATTTCATGGATGGTATACGTTAAAGGATGTGTAAATCAGACAGACCTGTCATATAGCCATATTTGATGAAGTGTACTTGCCTACATGGAAGTCTGTGCGATTAACACACCAATAATTCACACTTAACTTAAAACATTTCTAATATTTACATTTCACAGTTTAAAGGTGATAGAATATACTCAATCTTTGAAATATTAGCTGCCCTAATATTTTATATTTTTATTAATGTCTCTTTAGCCTCATTTAGGCGTCGTGTAAACACAAGTTTTTACTTTAACGGATTAGTATACACGGAAATATAATTCATTTCAATTTCATAGTTGGCTATGAAGAAAAACACCTTAAATGTAAACATTATATTATAACCAATTATTCATTTAAAAGACATTCGAAATTTCTATTTAATCGTTTATAGTATGGTGGACATAGAGAATATATCAGCGGTTGTGTTCTATATAATGTGTAATGAAATCGGAACATCACTGGAAATTCAAGCCAGAAGAGATATGTTGGACTTCAAAATTGAATTGGCAAATCAAACAAAATCAATTCATGATGAAGCTATCATGACAAGTGGAAGTAGAAGAGAAGGATTCAGACTAAAGGAATCAGATGTAGACATTATGTGCTGGCCAGATAATTACCGTGTGATCTGGGATATAAGTCAGTCTCAGCGCTATGACATTCACAGGAAAAGACTGATCCTCTGTGATGATTCCGAAAGCCCACCAGGATTCACCTTGTTATATTTGCTTTCACCTTCAATATTATGTAGCGAGATCAATGAAGCTTTTGTTAGAATGAATAAAAGAGATTACATTTCTAGTTCAATGCACAAAGCGATTATTTGTTCTGAAGAATCACAGCGATCCACTCTCCACGGTCCTTGTGTGAGTAGATGTGATGGAGTGCTAGGATTTGATTTTGCTCACTGCTTTGCATCGGATATTTGGCCTCCGTCTGCCTCTTCATGGATAGACAGAAGTCACCCATGGCCCCAGTGCAATATAGTTGATGAGATAGTAAAAGGTGGATGTCACTTTGTAGCAATTGGGCATAAACTAGGAAAACATGAAACTATTGAATGGAGAATTTCTTTCTCTTTGGCAGAACAAAAACTAGTGTATGCAATGACCCACTGCCAGTTCATAACATACGGTTTGCTCAAGTTGTTTTTAAATAGAATAATTAACAATGGATTAGGTGAGGATGAAAAATTACTGTGTTCTTACCACATGAAAACTGCAGTTTTCTGGGTCATTCAACAAAATATGATACCTCAATGGACTCCACATACTCTCCTCTATAGTTTCTGGGTCTGTTTTAAACTCGTCCTCAAATGGGTATATGAGGGGGTGTGTCCTAACTTTTTTATTCCGAGTAATAACATGTTTCTGAGTAATATTTTTGGTGAAGCCCAAGGTCGTTTATTTTTAAGACTGTATGAGTTGTATAGAATGGGTATACGATCAATACTACACAATCTCTCCATTATGTCATGTAAGGAATTCATAGCTTTCCTTCGTGATCCCAGTTTTTCCTGCCATGCAGATGAAAATGTCGATGTTTCGGAGGCTGATTTTGATGTCGAGTTTTTTATAGAATTAGAAAACATCGAATGTCCTATCGCATTAAGCGAAGAAAGACGCATATGGTATCTTCAATGCAATATAATAGAACAGACGATTACTAAACCCCTGACACAGTATCAAATCATTGTGCTACAGACACTAACAAACTCTCTCCTTCAGAGGCTGGCTTTTAAGTTACATAGGAATATGCATACACAAAAAAACAAACTAAAGTACAGGGCTGACACAATTTCCCGTCATATCCTAAAATTTGCAGCGAACTTTGGTTGTATTTCTGATATGTTGTACGTAGCCCTGTATGATTACAAAACACTAAGATATATGAAAGCTTTGTCTATAATAGACGTGCTAAAAGTTAAGCTAGCACAGCCATATGTGATGCACAATTATCTGAATGTAGATGAAGAGATGTATATGAAGGCTGTAGGGGGTCAGTCCTTGTCAACAAAAATGAAAAAAACTGTAGCATGGGATATAAAACTTCAAAATAACATTCCTTACATAAGTGAATTGATACCAGAGCAAATATCTGGTCAACAGAACGGATTGTCTTATTTAATTATCCCACCCTTTGTTATGTTATACATGCTAGAGATCTTTTGCGCCAAACATGTAGACATAAATAGAGCACAGATGGCCCTAAATGATTTACAGACCCTAGTTCACTATGATCAGGAACAAGTTATATCTTTAGATATGAGAAACATATCATGGCATATTTTGGGGATGTGTCAGCAGACAACAGGGAACATACGAGCTGCTTTAGCCTCATATCAACAATCTCTAAGAGAAGATCATCACCATAATATACAAACTGCTACAGAAATGAAATACGAAGACTTGACCAATGGGATAATTAAATTAATTAATGCAACAAATGAATAATGAATATTTTATTTCGTATTTATCACTTAGATTAATTGAAAATTAACAGCTTAGCATCGATCATTGTTTGTTATGAAATACTATGACACTGTTGCTATAGGACAGATAAGACATGTGTTCACTGATCGAAATACTAACTGTATCACCTTATTTAAAACAATTATTAGAAAGTTGATTATTTTGTGCGTTTGAATGGATGTATTGTATTTCATTGAAGATGATATAAAAATCCAAATAAAAAAAAAAAATTACACCATGTTAGTCCTCCAAATAATATTGTAATTTGTGTCAAGTTTTATTGAGATGAAACTTAAACTTTGGAAGTGTAGACTATTGAATGAATTTCATAGATTTCTATTTTTAGTAACAATTATAACACCTTGCAAGAAATCAAGAACCAGTAAATTTCTATTCCGTAGTAATCCTACGATTGATCCAAGTTTTATTGCAAAAACTAAAGGAGGAGTACTCGTAGCTACATGAATAATAGGCCTACGAACCCTTCATTGCTACTTGAGTATCATGAGTCTCTTTTCAATATACAAGTTAAGACGCACATACAAGTGTGACACGGCCTTTTCATGTAAATGTCGACCATTCTTGTCAATCGCGTGAGGGAGTTGTCATTATCCAAGTCGATATATATACCAATAGATTCCGAAAGGTATACTACATCACTGCGTTGTTGATACCAAGCAATAGAAAAGCACGAATATGATGGATCCCTTTCCTTACCGGCAGCCATTTTGAAATGTTGAATTACCATATGCTTTGGATTGACAATATGTCAATATCCTATTTGTGTTTATAAGAAACCTCTGCGTATATATTTATATCATATCCATTATTAAAAGTGGAAACAATATTTGAAGAGGAAATATAACTTAAAACTGCTCATGCTGCATTTAAAGTAAGAAAAAAATCAATGTTCTAGAATCATCGTTACTAGGCAGGGGACTTGACACCCATGCGTTATTTTTGTATTAAAAAATGTATTAAATGTTTGTATAATCCTTTTATTACACCATTCAGTCACCCGCCGTGTGCTCCTTGTCATGATCTGGAATAAGGGGGGAACTCAGTGTGTAAATATTGGCCTTTCAATAAGTAATGTATATCACTAAATTTTTGCGTCACCTTATTTTCGCGAGACAGTCATTGGATCTTCATAAACGAAACATAATTTTCACGAACTGTTGTCATTTCTCTATATAATCGTAAGGAATACTTATATACGCGAGAATTAAATTTTCGCGAGCTCATTATCTCGCGTAATTACGCGAAAATAAAGTTCTCGCGAATAAAAAGTGATTTACGGTATGATAAAAGTCGGGAAACATTTTATTTAATGATAAATTTTATTTGCTGACAAGGTCATCATATCGACCATAGAACATACAACATTTGACTTTAAACGAGGCTGCTGAAATTCTTGTTTCATCAACTCGTTTGTCAATAATTCACCTCGTTTTAGAAATTGTACATACGTACAGCATGCTCTTGCAACTGAGAGATATAAACAGCGTATGCAGGTTATGATGGTATATTGCTGTATAATGTGACACGCCAAGCAAAAACCTCCCTTATCTCTATTATGACGTAACGTCAAAAGATGCGTCTAAAGTCAACAATGTAAAAATCGACGTAAAACCGCCTCCTCGAGAGAAACTCTCCTCAGTAAAACAAAGGGGTGTTGTATTATTTAAATGCTATGGAAAACTCTTAGGTGTGGTTTGATGTGGTTTATTCTTTAAAAAGTTAGTTTCAGTCAAGTGTCTGCGTGATCTTTCCTTTTCACAATTAAGTGTGTATTTTTTAAAGATGTCCAGTGATGGTAAAAATTCCCGGAAGATCGTATTTAAAATGAAATTTGTTGCCCTCTCCCTAATTCATTAAAAATTGACAAGAAGTACCTCTCTTTTATTTTAAAGCTACCCAATTTATACGGTATAAACTGAGTTGGGACAGTTAACGGTGCGGTTTAAAAAAACGTAAACTGTTCCACCCAAGTAAACACCGTATAAATTGGGTAGGTATTACCGTATAAGTGGAAATTTTAGCAAAACGCAAATTTAGCGATTTGTCCTTAAAAAATTGTTTTTAATTTTTAGCGAGATGTTATTTTAGCGAATTTAAAAGGATTATGAAAGAAGCTATTACAAATAAAGCGCAATTAATTTTTAGCAATATTTTTTATAGTGATCTTGGTACCTTCGCTAATAATGCCAAAATTAAATCCTCGCTAAAAATTCTGCTTATACGGTATTTCTTTTCATTCGTTATAATTTAATTTTTTTTCATTTAATGAATGAATAAAGTCAATTTTCATTAAAAAGCACTTCAACAGTTCAAATTGTACAATATTGAAATGTTACGTCAGGAGGATCGATATGTTTTTTATCCAAGTGATTGTGACACAGATAACCAAGTACAATAAAAAATAATTGCTTTATCCAATCAAATACCGCGTCATTACCAGAATTAAATTATAGAAGTATATATTTACATCTTTTCACTTCGGTATAGATGATGTAAGTTTAAAAAAAACTGCTTCGCTTTTTTTGTTGCACTTTTCTGTACAGGTATTAAGAACTGTACATAATCTTTGATAGCTTGCCAAGGATATTGATAGATAGTTACGTTTAGTTAAAAAATGTACATATCTGTAGATACGACACAGAGTATTTGATTTGGCCACTACTTCCGGAATTAGTTTTTAGCTGTTGATTTAAAATGGATATTTTGAAGAAAGGCCTTTCGAGCTTCTCAATTTATTTTGTTACAGTTATTGTTAAACACCTTCTAATGTTGTACACAAAAATGTAGGAAAAATTCGTCCCCCCCCCTTCTCCCGTGTCACGTGTCTGCTCTATCTCTTTGGAGACTTTGTGCAAATTTTGCCATGAATATATACGGATACACGCACATATTGTAAGTTACAGTCCCACTTTTTAAGATATTTTATGATTGATTGAGAATGAACCAGATTGGACATTTGTTTATCGACCTTTTCCGGAAAAAAAAAATGAAACATTCCGTTTTTTTGTTTTGTTTTTTTTTTTGGCTGCACTGTTATGTCTTCTTAATCTGTTTGCTGATGTTATTCACATTACACACAATGTGAAACTGGCATACACGATACATGTACATCGCTAAAATCTTATAATAAATACAAATTGTTTGAACACTTTTCAAACATTCCAACCTTTCATTATTTTGTGCATGATTTATCTACCAAAGAAAAAAATAAAGTGTAGAGATGACTTTAAAGTTCTTGATTGAATTTCCTGAAAACGACATAATTTCGGTCATTTAAGAAATTGCTGAATCAGGCCGCCGCATGGTACATGCAGTACCAGTGTAACGCAGTCTCTGGTGCTTATTCAGCCCTCCGAACTTAAAACATCTGTGACAATGCAGGATGAAAGTTTACATTAAACATTTTAGAGGTTATAAGATTTCTTTATTTTCTAACCTTCAATATTAAGGATTTATTTAACCTGTAATAATTATTTCCCTGACAATGATTTTACTACCAATATTATATGATTTAACATCTACCTAAACAATGGAAATATCTGAATATATTTTACTCAATCAATGATCAAAACCCTCTACTGAGTGATGATGGATAGTGAAAATCTGCGAATTATTTGTGAAATTGTGATTTAAAGTGAAGGTGTATGGCGTTTGTTACGATGAAAGTTTGGAAACAGGGAAAAAACGCGCATGTAATAAATATCTACTAACTTGCTGAAATATAAAGGAAAATATAGAAATAAATCCAAAAAATAGTTAAATATCAATAATTCTAATAAATTTATGTTAGTAGACTTAAAATTACTTAGATATTTTCGATATTTTAGCAGAAAAACTCTGGTTAACTTGACCTTAACCTTGCGAAGTTCTTCCTGTTAAAACGAAAGTAGGATGCACATGCTACTGAACTTCAGTCTGAAGCATATCGAGAGCTTATATGGTCGGCAAAGTTTTATATTTTGGACATACGGTGGTTATTATTTGTTTATTTGGTGTTTTGTAAGTAGACATACATTACGTCTAAATGAAAACAATAATGCGCGAGATTGAACCTGGCAAGTCACAGACGTTTTTCTTTTCCTCAGTGGCGGTGCATGTTGTTTACATACGTAAATCAAGCTTTGCTTTGAAATAAAGGTGCAAAAAATAATTTGAAACATCTTGTTAATTAAAAGCATTTGTTTTTTAACAATAAATAAACAAATAAATAAGTAAACATTTTTTTTTTAAATCTAAAGACCCATTTCAAAAATGTTGAAAGATAAAAAAGGTTCCACCTAATAAAAGTAATAAATGTGGAGGACCTTGAACATTGTAGAAAAATTTCCAAGAGTTATTGCATTAATAAGTGAGTGCAAAAGAGATATATAGAGAATATATATCCATCAACATATTTTTGTGATCAAGCAAAATTAATTCATGATACAGGTATTAAAAATATACACAATATGAATTTTATAATTGACAATCATTGAGTCAATTAAGTGGCCCTAATTACACCTAAAA